GGCTGCTGGCAGCGCTGAAGGCAAATCCCCTTTCGGATTAAAAGCAAACCAGCCATAATCTGCCCTGGTCACCAACCTGCCCTCATCCCAGTGCAGATGGCCATGTCACCTGGGCACCTCCTGCCCCTCTCCCTCGGGACCCCAGGCAGCACCGGGAATCCCCAGCTCCGCCCAGGTCCCATCAGTGGGACCAGCCTGGCTGAGCACCCATGAAAGCCCCAGTTTCTCCTTGAAAAGCCAGAGTTAAGCATCAGCCTGGTATCCTCTGCCAAGTGAGATGAGTTTGGGAGTGCTCAGCTGGGTGCACTCACTCCCCCAGAGCAGGGCACAGGACTGGTACCCTCCGCCCCCCCATGCCCAGACATTTCAAGAGCCCCTAAATAAGAACCAGTCCCAACACAAAACCCCTTAACAGGGGCTGCAGCCCCTGCGGACAGCAAACCCACAGATGGGGTCGCCCAGCTTCAGCTGGCATCAAGGTGACAAAGGCCTTGAAACTGCGTAAAAGGGGGAGCCCTGCAGGAGGACAGGCTGCCGAGGATCGGCCGTCTCTACCCCGCAGCGCCCCACCGCAGATGTGCCAGCCAGCTGTGCAACCGATTTTAGATTAAAACAAAAATTAAATTAAAAAAAGGCCAAGCACAGCTTTTCAGGGCACGAATAGGGTTTGTGTTGGCTGTAATTCTTCCTAAGGAGGTCTTTACTTGTAATTAGCAAGTAATTTGTCACAGCACTAACGATCCAAGCATTTACCTTATCCTATTAACTACCAAAATAGTTACCTATTAATAATATTCAGTGCCGCAAGGATCCTCTGGCAATCCCCATGCAGACGCACGGTGCTCTCGGGCATCGGGCGCTGATGTCGGTCTATTTACAGCTCTGAAGCGCTACCCACCCAGGGCACCGGACTCCATCACCTCTCCCCACTGCGACCCCCACATGGCCCCCCCCAGACACCCGCTCGGCCCAGCCCTTTGCGGGGAAAACCGAGGGACGGAGGGGAGGGACGGATTTTCCAAGGTCACGCACAAGGTTTGAGACAGGGCCGGCTTCGGGGAGCGGGAGAGACATCGCCGCCGAGCTTTGAGGCAGGGCGAGGAGCTGGGGAGGACGAAATCTCCCCATGGCAGAGCCTGGGGTGCTGCTATGGGGCAGGGCCCTGGGAAGGAGGGATCCCCTCCAATCCCTCCCACCCCAGCCTCCCTCATCCTCCCGGGAATTTAAACCCAGGCTTTTCCCGAGCAGCCAGCACTGGAGCAACCGGCTAGAAAAAGACCTGCAGCCTTCCCAGCCCGGTGCCGCAGACCGCGGGTGATGATAATAGTAATAAATAACAGTAACAATAAAATTAAAGTCACATCAACTCAGCCAAGTTTGGGAGCCGGGTTTGGCTGGCAAAGGGGCACCCGGAGAGGGGTCACCCCCGCGGGCAGACCCAGGGGTGACCCCATCCCTGCCGCGCTGCTCCGACCCAGGGTGCCCAGCACCAGACCTAGATTTTTAGGGTGCCTCCCCCCCTCCAAGCTGCTGGCCGTCCGGGTTTGCTTTGGGGGTGCACAGGGGCATCCCCGACCGGAGCAAGGTCGTGCCCGCTCCCCATCCTGATCGCTCCCC